TTCTTTCTCTCCCTCCCTTTTCCTCATCTTCCTTCCTCCCTTCCTTTTCCTTTCCTTTAGAAAGGATCTCATGTATCCCAGCCTAACTTAGAACTCAGTATGTAGCTGCGGATGAGTTTGAACTCTTGATCCTCTTGCCTTAACCTCCTGAGTGCTGGGATAACAGGCAGCTACCACCACACTAATTTGTGAGGTGCCTGGGATCAAACCTAGGACCTTATGCATGCTAGGCAAGCAGTGTACTAACTGAATTATATACACAGCTCCAAAACTGTTATCTTTTAACATATGACCCTCCTTGTACTATTTCCTATGTTGATGCCTATGCACTGGGGAAGAGTATAAGAACTTGCTTAATAGCAGTTTCTTTGAAACATAGAGACTCTGGTGATTTAAAGCAGATATGAGTGTGCAATTCATTCCATGTTTTTTTCCCACTATATTCAATTGAAAAAAATACACTTAAATGAATCTTTGTGTTCTAACAAGCCTTTTTGTTATATTGTTTTATATGACTAGCCATCTTAAAAAATGGTAAAACTTTGTAAAAGTTTTACAAACTGATTCTGTACTGGGGAGTGCTATGTAAAACAATTTATTATAGATACTATCTTGGTTTAGCAATGCAGTCAATGAAAGTGTCTGTGGCTTTGTGTGCATCAAGTATCCAAAGAATGACATTAAGAAGCTGTGATAAGTCAATTATTGAAAACATGTCTACAGACCCTGAGTTAGGATTTACACAGAGATGCTGAAAACATGATTGATGACCTGCTATCTGTAGTCTTAGGGAAACTGCATTTTATAAAATGTTTATAGTTACACTGAGAAAGCACTACTAAGCCAAACACAAATGTAAAGTGTTTCCTTACAGAGCATTTAAGATGAAAGCCTAAAACTGAGACGACAACATTGAAGGCTCTTGCAGAAGCACGCATTTATTTGGGCATATGGTAGCAATCCACTAAACACAGAGGTATAATCTACTGGGGAGTAACCAGAACAGGGTTGCCAGGCAGAGGTTCTGCCAGAAGAGCTTGATTTTTATTATGGAAAAGCAAAGATGCAGAGAAGCACGTGCACATTCTACTGCAGCATCTCTTGTGAAAGTAGTGCCTTCATCTTTGCAGATGGTCCTTCAGTGGCTGAATGCCTGAACACTATAATGTTCGCTGATCAATTCCATTGTTTCTGTGCAGTGAAAAGAGTTAATTGCATTGAGAATGACATTTGTGTGCTCTTCAGGAGGTGTGTACAACTGGGTTGCAAAGGAACATAATGCTTGGCTTAGCTATTGATTAATGAATGAAACTGCAGAGGCCGAAGACATTGCATTAGATCTGAATAAGGTGTCAGCCCATGTGCATAAGTGATTTCCACAGTAGATTTTCAAGTACATCTTGGTTGACTGGGAACTGTGGTTTTTAGCAGTCTTTTGTGTTTGAAAACACTGAAAAGCAATTGCAACAGTTCTGTCAAATGTACTTGCTGCGTAGTGGCTTATGACTGCAGAGAGCTTTCAATTAATACAACTGAAAATATTTAGTTGTGCTCTATGGCAAGTAAAATTGTTGCTTATCAGTCAGGTAATTATGTATTTTGGTCAAAATTGTTTAATGAGAGCACAGAAAACCTGGAGCTCCAGCAGAATTAGGATCTTGTGAAAATACAGTTTTGTGATGTGAAACAAATAGAAACATCTGTGAAACAAATAGAAACACTAGTAAAAGAAGAAAAAGAAAATGAGTGCATGAGTATGTGATATGCATATCTCTGTGTGTATTTCTGTGTGTGAGTGCACGTGTGTGGGTTGTGTGTGATTGCATGTGGAGAATAGAAGTTGCAATCGGGTGTCTTCCTCGATTGCTCCCCACTCTGTTATTGAGCGGGGTCTCATGCTGAGCCTAGCGCCCCCTGATTCCAGCTGCTCTACCTTGCTGGCATGCCTGGGGACCCTGTCTTTGCCACCCCAGCACTGGGATTACAGATGGCCACCACTCCTGCCCATTTCTCTCTCTCTCTTTTAAAATGGGAGCTCTGGGGATCTAAACACCAGTCCTCATGCATGTACAGTGAGCTCTTTATCCATGGAGCCGTCTCCACGGCCCTAAACTAAACTGTTTTTAACTATATAGCTTTCAGATAATTATAAATTGCTTTGAACTTCTTTCTGTATTTAAATATTATTTTTTAGTATTTTACAGCTAGCCTTTCGGAATGGACACAGAATATTCAAGTTTGATTAGTTCATTTTATTAGCCAGGTGGCAATGCAGGTGTGAATAGATTGAAAGATAATTGCTGCCATGTGGGTGCTGGGATTCGAACCTGGGTCTTCTGCAAGAACAACTAGTGTAACTGCTGAGCCATCTCTCCAGCCCCTCATTATTTTATTATTTTTATTCTATGTGTATGAGCGTATTACCTGCATGTGTGTAAATGCGCCTATGTCATGCAATGCCCATGGAGGTCAGAAGAAGGCATTGGATTCCCCTGGAACTGCAGCATGTGGGTGCTGGGATTCGAACCTGGGTCTTCTGCAAGAACAACTAGTGTAACTGCTGAGCCATCTCTCCAGCCCCTCATTATTTTATTATTTTTATTCTATGTGTATGAGCGTATTACCTGCATGTGTGTAAATGCGCCTATGTCATGCAATGCCCATGGAGGTCAGAAGAAGGCATTGGATTCCCCTGGAACTGCAGTCACAGATGATTGTTAGCCACCATGTGGGTGCTAGGAATTGAACCTGTGTCTTCTGAAAGAGCAGTCAGTGCTCTTAACCTCTGAGCCATCTTTCCAGCCCCACTTGTATTTTAAAGGATATCTAGAGTACCAGTACTTTCTTTTTGTCAAGAATTTGGGGTGATGGAATCTGATTCTTATTTAATGAACTAGAAATAAGCTAGAATTTGAGAGGAATTTGAGGTGGCAGGTTTTAGTTGCTCTTCTAAAAGTGTTACAGCTTTTAACTAAGATTTGTGATGTTATTGAATATCTGTTATTAGGAGTAACATCTAAATGTGATCCATGAGGGAATCTTTGTTGGAATTATCTATAGCAGAGCAGAAAGGGAAGCTTAAGTGGATCAATGTGCAAGGAAAGGAAGTCACTGAGAGGTCTAAGTGACTGTGGTGACTTTCCTGGTTGGTTGATCCCATATCTTTGGCGAAGGAGCAGATTTACGGAGGTATGGAGCCTATCAATGTCTAGGTAGGAGTTGTGTGAGAAAACACAGAGTATAGTCATATGTTTATAAAGTTCCCCAGATAAGTCAATTTTTTTCTAAGTCTTTTCTTTTAGGAAGCTGTTATGTAATGAGGTTGAACGAATCTCCAACAGTCTTGACCCCTAAACCTGCATGATCAGTCAGTCCTGGTGATCCATTTCATCGGCGTAGCACTCAGTCCACATTCATGGTTGTCAACCCAAGTAATGCAGGATTGAGGAAAGCCCAATTGTTTAAGTCTCTTGAGTTTTCCTGACTAGTGCACGTTTGTGCATTTAAGCCTTTTATGGGTTTGAGGCTGGGCAGGTGGCCTTCTTCAAGGGTCCTAACAAGAACATGGAAGAATTTGTGCTTTGATTTACACTTTGACTTTTAAGGGATTTGTTCTTATTAGAACCTTAACCACATATGTTGAAAAATGTTTCCAGTAATGAATTTCATAAATGGTCACTGTGTTAAAACCAGAAATAATAATGAAATGAAGATATCACCTTTAAATCAGAATATATGGGCTGAATCAACCAGTCAATCAATCTATCTATCTATATCTATCAACCAAGCAATCAATCATCTATCTATCTTATCTATATCTATCTACCATCTATCTTATCTATATCTATCATCTATCTGTCTGTCTGTCTATCATCTATCTATCTATCATCTATCTATCTATCTATCTATCTATCATCATCATCTATCTATCAATCATCTATCTATAGCTTAGTGGTAGAGTATTTACCTAGTATGTGCACAGCTCCAGGTTCAATCCTCAGCATGGTAAATGCATTCATGCATGCATAAGTAAATAAATAAGTAAATGTATAAAGTACTGTGCTCTCTTGGTCTCTATTCCAAATGGCTATTTTTCACAGGATACTAGTCAGCTTTAGGCCATATATTATTGTGACCAAATAATGACCTACTGTTTTCCAACAAATTGAGGTGGATGTTACTAATGTCTTACCTTTAATAGCTTCTCCATTGCAAGAGAAATTAAGGGGCAATAAATCCCTCTCAAAAGATTAGTCCACCTTTTTTTCCATTTAGAAAGAAAATGAGAAAATTTGAATACTCAAGTGATTTTTTTTTCTTTTAAATTTTGTTATTTCAATTGTATGTGTATGCATGTATTGCCTGCATGTAAGTGAGTACACCAATGTCGTGTAATGCCCCCGGAGGACAGAAGAAGCTGTCAGATCCCCTGGGACTGGAGTTACAGACAGTTGTTAGCTGCCATGTGGGTGCTGGGATTTGAAGCCAGGTCTTCTGCCAGTGTTCTTAACTGCTGAGTCATCTCTCCTGCCCTGTCAAGTGATTTTTTTTTTAAATCATAAAAGGTGTTTACTGTGCTCCTGGTGATAACCAGGTCCAGTGGTTTCTTTCTAAATGTTTATATACATGTAATTTCTCCTTGATAAAAAGGGGAAAACTACTTGGATATGTATATATACTAGTCATATGTTGTGTGTGAACTAGCAGAACATGGTTTATAATTTTACATTGTATGACCATGCATATCCTCCTTAAGAGCTGCCCATTGTGGTGTGCAGGTGTGTGTCTTAAATTTTAATAAGTACTGAGATAGCCTCTAAGTAGTATACCTTGTTTGAAATAACCTTCTCACGGGGTATGTTTTCTGTAAAAAGAGTAAGTTTTTCCTTTTTTGGAAGTGAGTGTTAGCTGGTCATATAAGATGATTAAGCCACAGGAGTGTGTATCATTTTTTATTGTACCTGGAAGTTCTTAATGTGTTCCTCATTATCTGTCAATAGGGCCCATTTGGAGGCCAGTGCGGAGAAGTGGAACAGGTTGCTGGCATCTTTAGAAGAGATGATCAAATGGCTAAACATGAAAGATGAAGAGCTTAAGAAACAGAGGCCCATTGGAGGAGATGTCCCTGCCTTGCAGCTCCAGCACGACCACTGCAAGGTAAGTGGACCTTCCCCATGGGTATCATTTGCTCTCGTTTGGTTTTTGTATTTCAATTTTGGTAAATGTGTGAAATAAAATTCTAGGAGAAATAGCAAGTCTGAACTAATTGTCACACGTTCCCTCCTCTTCTGCTTCTTCCTGTCTATATTTAGGCATTTTGTTTAAACTGTAGTCTTTGCTTCTATTTGTTTCACGTTGTTGTTTGTACACATTTAATTTAAAAATTTTGGAACAACATAGGCATCTAGGGCAGACTGTTGCTATCATGAAATTTATCTAATTTTAAAATAGATTTTTGGATATTAGTATATTGGGAAAAAATTAAACTACAACTATTCAAACAAACAACCCCCCCCCCAAAAAAAAACAAACAAACAAACGAAAACCCAGGCCCTTGCTTTGTAGCTCAACCTAGCCTCAACCAACCAGGTAGCTGAGGCTGGTCTCAACCTTGTATTGATCTTTTACCCTCAGCCTTCAGGTGATGGGGTTACAGGAGTATACTACCACACCTAACTATAAGTTAGAAGTCATAGTATTATAAAGAATTACAGAGTAGTTCTGAGGGTAATAGCTCAATGGTAGAACACTTGCCCAGTGTGTTTGTCCCTGCCCCTCTCAAAAAAATTAAACCATCTTATTAAGTGAAAGTGAAAAAAAATATAGGATAGATTTAAGTCTTGTGTTAAATGAAGACCGTAGTATTTAAAATAATTTTATGTGTTTTTTTTTCCTAGCTTAGATCTTTCTTAAAATCACATTTTTATTCTGCTTAGGCTTCCATCTCTATAAACAATTGTAATTTTGCTGTGATGAGCAAACAGATATTGCTGAAATGTTGTAGACCTACATCTTTTAGTCCTTGTATTTTAAAATTTTCTTTGCCTTGGCTAAATTCCATTAATCTCTTCATGCCCTTCCATGCTATTTTCTCATAGAATGTTACCATCTTGCTTTATTGTATTTTTTTCCTGTTCACATGCAGTGCAAGTTCTCATTCTAAGTCTGTACATCTTAATATAATGTTATGATTCTGTTCTCAGTTGAAAGATAAACACTAACACATGCTCCTCCTGAAGGAAGATGTAATCTATTTAATAAGTTGTTCTTACACAGGCTGTGAGGACCGTGAAATTTATTTTATTTCGAGCCCTTGTGACTACGTGATTAAAATGACCATTTGAGTATTATCTTTTCTTTCACCTTAGAGAGGAGGATGGAGAAATAGCTCCAAAAAGATCGGATAAAGGAAATGTTGCTATGTCATATTTAAAAATAATAATAGAAGATTATAAGTTAGTGACTATAAAATCACATTTCCTCTGCAGAGTTTTCAGCTTTCTTGTATTAATTATTCATATTCCCTTTTGTGGGTTCAGGTGCTGATGAGGAAACAAAATAATATAAATCATCTCTAATAGCAGTGTTCAGTATATGCAATAAAACTTGCTTGTGACCATGTCTCACTAGCTTTGAATAAGATCCAAATCTTCAGGTAGGAAGTTCTTTTCCTCAGATAACCTTGATCTCAGCATATTTCGTGCCCCTTAGACTTCCCGGTTAGTCCTGATGGGGTTGGTTGTTTCTGGTTTTGTTTTGTTTTGTTTTTGTTATGATCAGTGTGATGTCCCCTTTTCAACCCTGTATTTTTCTTCAGCTGCCTTCTAAAATGGGTTTTAAAAAAATAAACATTAAAATATTATTTCAAGGACTAATGTAGAATATTATGATAAATGTCTACTAAATACTCAATATTCATTTGTTGAGTAAAGTAATTCATGGAATTTAGAGGGGAAAAAAAAATCACAATTTTCCTGTAAAACACATGATCCAGCATAGAGCAGTGTGCTTGAGTTTGGGCTGAATGTTTTATTGGTTGTTCCTGATGCAGCGGGATAGGAGGATCCTCTCAGGGTGGGTGGCTTTCGCTTATTCCTAAGTATATTAATTGGCATCATGTCTCACTTTGCCACTATGAATTATGCAGGAAGTTAAAGATCAAGGGAAGAAATGAACACTTAAAGCCTAATTTTTCCATATTTTCCATTTAGGTTGTGACATTTGTTATATTCATGAGTCCTTTCTTGGTGTGAGATACAGGGTCTACTGGGTAAACGATCTGCTGTGATTTCCTGTGCCATAGGATGCAGGATGCACTGGAGTAGGTTAAGGAGTGGTTGTTGACTGTTCGTAATTGTGGTAGTGTAGGTGAGTGATGTGAGCAGGCATTGTTCCGGGGTGGAGAGACAGTAGTGATAGAGATTATGAGTTGAAAGACAAATACTTACACTTAAGAGCTGGCTTGTCACTGACATCCTGGGTGACTCTGAAAATGTTGCTCGACCTACCCAGTCTTCAGTCTCCACAAATAGGAAATTGGAATAGTAAGGAGTATTTTAGTGTATTTGGATCTTATAACAAAATATACCAAACTGACTAACTTACAAACTTCAGAAATCTATTCCTTAGTGTTCTGAAGGCAGGGAGGCCAAGATCAAGGATCTGGCAGATTTGTTGTCTGATGATGGCCTGCTCCTGGCTCAGAATCTTTTTACCGTCCTTTCACATGGGAAGGGACCTGTTCATAAGGATCCCAGTTCCTCATGAAGCTTCCTCCCCCATGATCAGCTTCCTCCCTCATGATCAGGTCACTTCCAGAAACCTTCACTTCCTACTGTTATGATTGCTTTGGGGTTAGGATCTCAACATGTGGGTTTTGGGAAGATAATAAGCATTCAAACCATGACAAGTCATTCCATCTACCTATGCAGAATTTGCTCTGAAAAATCAAGCAAAATAATATAAATGGTAATAATTTTAAAAAATGTGAAGTGCTGTAAAGCGGTGTATCGCTTTATTCAATTACGTGTGTTCGTCAAAAGCAGCTTGCTTTCCTGACAACCAAGAGTAATTTTAAAAATTATATAATTATACATATGGTACAGATGGATGTAATTATTATTCATTTACATTAATATAAGTGTACATCATAGAAGTAGAGCATTACCATTATGTATTTGTATAATTGCAACATTAGTTAAAGAATTGTATTACTGTTTTATTAGTTACTTTTCTTGTTGCTGGAACCAAGTGTCTGACAAAAGCAACTTCACAGAGGAAGGGTTTACTTTTGACTCCCAATTCGTGTTGGGGAAGGTATGAAAACATTCATGACTGTCATTGCCTGTCCCTAGGAGCAGGAATACGAGGCAGCTTTCCTGTGTTTAGATGTATCAGGAAACAGAGAGCTTGAGCCCAAATGGAGCTGCCTAGTGTCCTCAAATTCCTATTACTAGGCCCTGTGTTCGAAAGTTTCCACAACCTCCCAAAATAGCACCACTAGCTGGGAACCAAGTGTTCAAACATGCGATTCTATGGAACAACTCACACCGAAGCCCATAATGTCTATCTGTAGTTACTCACTTGTCCTACTGAATAACACCATCCACAATCATTGGGAATCTAAGTAGAGTTGAATGTCAGCTGAGTGCCCAGTAATTCCCTTCTGTTGAAGCTTATTCAGTAGTGGGTGGCCTGTGTCTAGCCTCAGCATAATTCTCTATTTTATCCTGAATCTTTTCTTAAAATCTAAGTCTCTTACAGTGTTTCAGCGCAGCCTTTAAAAAAATTTTCTGGGTGCTATCCTTTTTCTCTGCTCTCTTATTTTTCCCATCAAAAAAAAAAAATCTTTATTTTCTATTTGTGCATGTGTAATTTAGAATTACCAGCTGTTGGAACCACGACAGCCCCAAGAAGTGCTCACGCAACTGGAGGTGGTGGCTTGATGAAATCTCATTTACTACTCATTTCCCTTTCACATCCAACAGATGGTCATTATGTACCTTCTGTTGCCTGGTAGTTTCTAAGACACTGGCACAGCGACCAGACATAGCCCCTCTCACATGGAAGTTTCATGCAGGGGACAGCCTGTGTTGTTCTTAAATTCACAGTTCCCATTCTCTTTATAATGAGAAATCATTTGGAGGAAGGTCCTGGCCAAACTGAACCATGCATTGTCTCCCTAATCTCTGGCTGCCTGCCCAGTCACCTGTTTCTCTTACCTCCCAACTTTGTTCCTTTAGTTATAATGCACTTAAACTTTCAGTTCCTGGCCACATTATTTCCAGGCTTTTTTCTTTAAAGAATTATAGAATTCTCTTCAGTTATAACATTGCAATGCCACTTTAAGTAGAACATGGGGAAAGTTTTCAAACAATGTTTTTACAGATATGTTTTTAGCATAGTAAAATAAAATTAATTTTCCCTTTTATTTTAGGTTCTCTATTATTAGAAAATGCAAATAATATTTTTTTCTGATTGCCTGCTTTTAGGTCTTCAATGTTCTTAACAAAGTTTAAAAAATCTTTTTAACTTCAAAGAACTTTTAAACCTTTTAGCTTAAAAGTATATAACTTGAATCAAACAAAATATACCCTTAAATAGCATCACACACTAACATTAGGCAAGATAAAATTCCCCTATAGAAAGTAGGGGATCTTACTTCCCTGAATTTTGGTGATTTTTTTTTTTAAATTGATTCTTTTACAATTTCATACATGTAGGAAGGAGGATGTTGTACTACCTTTTGAGTTCATTCACTAATCTTTCAGCTAGAATGAATTCATGGGTCTGAATTACTTTATT